AAATATATCCTAAATAGCATTAGTTTGATTTATGTTTTCCCATATTTTGACTCTTTTCAGGTAACTTTAGGTTTGTTTAGGTCTTTAGGAAATAGTGGGGGTCCTCGTCATTGTAGTACCTTGATGAAAGGGTCCTTGGAAAAATTTAGTTGGGAACCCCTGCTCTAGAGTGTTAAATAGAATAGCTTGGTCTTTGTTTGGGATTAATATACTACGTAGTTTATATTACGACTAACTGCGTTTAAGTATGATGCATTTTGTGGTAGCTGACTGGAAGATGACATCTTTTAAATGGATTTAAAATCCGACTAAAACCGGTGCTGTTTTACAGCTTTCGCTGTGATACCAGTTTATGGAAATTGGATAATACTTATAACTAATTGCAGTGTTTTACTGCCAATCGAAAGTACTGCGTCAGATCTGCAGTGCCCCTTGGTACATTACACGCCGTACACGCTGTATACAAGACCAGATTATCCTGCCATCCAAATCCGCTGGCCACGGATGCTCAACATTCCACACGAAAGTAGATTAAAAGACCAGACCCTTTGGACCTCTAGTAAACATGGAGAAATAGAGCATAGTGTCATAGTGCGGTGAAATAACAAGTTTTTATTTTGGTGTTTTCTAAATCTTTTCTTGATTTTTTTTTTCATTTTTTTTTGGTCTTGTAATACTTATACGTGTCTCAGTGATGTTTATCTGTATTAAACTTTGTTTGTTAAGTTGAAGTTTAAATTAATTGTTATATGTTATATTATATTTATATAATGACTTACCTGGGTGCTTGCCACTGGGCGGCTTCCCACTATGTTATTGTACATAAATTATACATATTGCTTATTGTTTGTAATGAGACAGATTGCAATAAACATTGAAGGTAAAAAAAATTGCAGTGTTTTACTTATTAATCTAAATCCAAATAGATGAAAAAAGTATATTTTATCTACTCACGATTCTAACATTCAGTATACAAATCACTTTCACTTAGTTTTATACTTAATTATTTTTAAATTTACTTCACTTTACTTTATTATCTGTGTTATAGTGGCTCTTGCACTCTCTCTGTGTAACAGTTCAATCACATCTTGTATTCTAATAAAATCGAAGGCTTTAGTGAGGTCTTATTATTATTTTGTCTTATTATGAATATGGCATCTGTTATACCGAAACCCTTATTGTTCTTTGCATATTTAATACTTTTCAATTATTTTCTCTGCAATTACGAGTATCTTAGTCAATATTTTTAAACTGGTGTCCAGCAACGTATCTTCGATAGTTAGATGGGTCAATTTTGTCCCCTTTTTGTGTATAGAAGTCGTTATACTTGATTTGCATGCTTTTGGTATGTATTTAGGCGAGACCTGTCTTCAATCGCCTTAGGCAAATTTTATGTAATAGGCACCTGAACATTGATATAAGAACACGAATCTTGAGATGCTGTGTATTTTCTACTCTTTTCTATGGAGTCGAAGCCTGGAGCTTCACGAGGCAATATCCAAACGATTAGAAGCCTTCGAAATGTGGTGTTACCGCCGCATGCTCAGAATTTCCTATATCCATCATGTTACAAACAACACCGTGATCCAACTTATGAATAAAGATTGGAAATTATGCGTATAGTGAAAATCAGAAAGATAACATACTACATAAGAAGTATCAACTAATTCAACTAATTTTACAAGGCAATATAGAAGGCAATAGATCTCAAGGGCGCAGAAGGATATCGTGGTTGAAGAACTTCAGATAGTGAGCGGGAATGACTACCATACATCTATTTAGAGCAGCTGTCAACAAAGTGGTATGGACCAACATGATTGCCAACTTCCACAAAGGATAGGCACCAAAAGGAGAGAAGAAGAAAAAAATTAATCACATATAATATAAGCTCCATACAATAATCAATACCATCTAATGTGGCAATGGATACTTTACCTCAATTTCTCGTTTTCATTTCCAGCTTTTGTTTTCCACTTTATTTCTTTTTTCTTTGGATCAAACGATTCTAATTCGATAGTCAAAGTCGCCATGTGGCGTTAAGCTTTTACTATATTAGCTTCTTCTTCTTCTTTCAGTGCCTATTCGTTCCGAATATTGGCAATCATTCTGGCTATAATTATTTTATTGACTGATGCTTTAAATAGATTTGTTGTTGTTGTGGAGAACCATTTCCTCAGGTTCTTCAACCATGATATTCTCCTTCTCCCAATTCCTCGCTTTCCGAATACTTTACCCTGTAGGATTACCTTCAGTAATCTGTATTTAGTGCTGTTTCTCATTATATGTCCGAGATATTCCAACTTTCTCTTTTAATGGTATACATCACCTCTCTTTCTTTGCCCACTCTTCGTAATACGGTCTCGTTGGTTATCTTGTCTGTCCATGATATCCTTAGAATTCGTCTGTATAGCCACATCTCGAAGGCTTCAAGTTTTTTCTCCATTGCTTCAGTTAGTGTCCAGGATTCAACTCCGTAATACAATATTGAGAAGATATAACATCGTAGGAGCCTCACTTTTATCTCCAGATTAAGATTGTGGCTTTTAAAGAGTTTGGCCATGTTATTGAATGCACTCCTAGCCTTCTCTATTCTACATTTTATTTCCTGTGAGTGATCCCATTGTTCATTTACTATTGTTCCAAGATAGTTATACTGTTTTACTCGGTCCACTGGTGTATTATTGATAAGTAGTTGAGCGTCTCTAACTTTATTTTTGCTGATGATCATAAATTTAGTTTTTGATATATTTACTTGAAGTCCAAATCTTTCACTTACTTCATTTACTTTGTTTATTAGTTGCTGTAAACTGTTCAAACTGTCTGCAAAAATAACGGTGTCATCTGCATAACGGATGTTGTTTAGGCGTTCTCCATTTAGAAGTATTCCATGTTCGCATTTTTCCAAGGCTTCACTAAATATTTCCTCTGAATATAGATTAAATAATATAGGTGAAAGTATACAACCTTGTCTAACGCCTCGTAGAATCTGGATCATTTCCGTTGGTTCACCTCCAAAATTCGTTTCTTATTGTGGCTGATTGGTTCCAGTATAAATTTTGTATTATACGCCGATCTTTATCATCCATTTGGGCTTTTGTTAGAATATCCATCATTTTTTGGTGTTGAACTGTATCAAATGCTTTTTGGTAGTCCACAAAGCAGGTGTAAATATCGCAAGTCATATCTCTGCATCTTTGAAATAATACCTGTAGACTAAACAGTGCATCTCTTGTACCTACGCCCTTCATGAATCCAAACTGTGTGTCTTGTATTCTCTCTTCGCATAGCTTGTATATTCTACGATGTATAATTTTAAGAAAAAGTTTTAATGTATGGCTCATTAGACTTATTAGCCTATATTCTCCGCACTTTTTTGCTCCCTGTTTCTTTGGTAAGGTAATAAATTCTGAAAGTAACCAATCTTTTGGGATATTGCCTGTGTCATAGATATTATTGAAGATTTTACATAGTACTCTTAAAGATTCATCATCAAGAAGTTTAAGAAATTCAGATTGTACTCCGTCTGGTCCTGGAGCTTTACCTTCTTTTAGTGATATTATGGCTGCTCTTATTTCTGCTACTAGTATAGGTGGTCCTGTTTCCGTAGGTATTGGGGGCTGGTTCTCTCTCTCATCAAAAAATAAATTTCTTATGTAATTTTTCCAGGTATCATTGATACTCTCTTTGTCCACGATTATCTCTCCATTGTCATTAACAAGTTTACTTATTCTTCTGTTTTTACATTTACCTGTAATTTCTCTTACCTTCTTATGCACGTTGAAGTCGTCGTATTTACTTTGGAGAATTTCGATTTCTTGGCATTTTTTCTCCAGTTCTTTCTGTTTGGCTTCTCTGATCTTTCTCTGTATCTCTCGCTGTAATGTTTTATACATGGAGTTATCGTTCTTGTTTTTCCTTCTTTCTTCCATTAGTTGCAGAATCTCTGTCGTCATCCATGTCTTATTCTTACCTTCTTCGTTCTTCATAAAATTGTCTTTAATGTCGTCTATTGTTTTCTTAAGGGATTCTATCTTATCTTCTATATTAGCTTAATGGGATTTAAAGTTGACATTTTGCCCAAAAGAAACACATTTGGTATATTTTTGCTTCATTTTAGACTCCAACGTGCTTAAAATTGATCCAAGTCGTGGGTCAATTCTAAGAACATTACATTCTAAGCACACACAAGGTAACACGAATTGTTAACAGTTATTCCCGTGTCTTTATTTTCAATTATGCGGCTTCCAATGCCGATTATTATAAATATTTGATTATTTACAATAACAGTTTGCATTTTTTTTATTTTTTATTTGTTTTATGAGTATGACATTCCGCATTGACCTAAATTTAATTCAAACACATGTAAAACAAATTACTTTGAATTAAGATTTTGTGTTTCCTTATATGACGCCTGTATATCAAATTTTATTAAAATAAAATAAATTATAATGGATGTACGTATTATTTTGAAATACAAACAATAAGTGTGAAGGTTTGAAACTACAAGAACACCATACACAACCGAGTAGTATTGCAACAAACGCGCAGGTTAGTTCACTTCTGCTCAAAGCTTTGGCAAAGTCATTGCGATGCTGTTTAGTAAAAATTTCCGGCCTGTCTTACTCTAGTTGTTATTTCGATTGTTTATAGTGTTTCTATCTAAACTTTTACTTCATTTTTGTTCCTTACGTATATATTTTTTATTAGTTTTATGATATTGAACTTGTCTATTATATAGTAGATTTACGACGTCTGATAATCGGAATATGTCGAATGCCTTTTTTAAATCAACGAAGCACATAGTCATGTTTATTGCATTCTATATATTTCTCAACTCTTGGATTATTTGAAAGATAATATCGGCTTAAGATCTTCCGCCTTCGAATCCTTCTTAGTTTTCCGATATTATACTAAATATTTTGGATAACTTACACTCCTTTGACTCCTTCTCTCTATATACTTACGAATATTCAATTACAATTAAAACAGCTTCATAATTATCATATATAAATCACAGTAAACATTTATTATTTAAAAAAATAATACAAAATATTTATCCACCTTATTCTAATCTAGGAAAATATTACAAAATAAAACTTATATACGTTTCAGTCCAAACCAAAATCCTCCTTCAGACGTGAGGTTGAAGTTTTCTTTTGAAATTACCAGAGGAATTTGCGATTTTTCTACAGGAATGATTTCAAAATCTTTAAGCAAATAAAAAAATACCACCTTGATTTCCAATAAAGCAAATCTAGAGGCTATACAGTTTCTTGGGCCTAGTCCAAACGGTAGGTAAGTGTAAGGGTTGATTTTACTTTTGTTTTCGTCACTAAACCTCTCAGGGTCAAATTTATCTGGATCTGGATAGTATTTGGAGTCTCTATGGATAGGATATACTGGCATTAATATTGACATTCCTTTTTTGATAGTAATTGGTGCTTCTTCTGGTCGTTCTGGTTTAATGATGTAATCTTTGGTGCATTGTCGCTCGGTTACTATAGCAACAGGCCATTTTCTCAAAGATTCTGAAACAAAAAAGCATTTAGAAAAATTTATTTTTACGGTAAAAATTTTAAGTAAATATTGTGTTTATCTTGTTTTCACAGGTTAATATTACTAAACTGTACATAATATTTTATATTTCACAGCCTGTATTGAAATGACACTTTCTTTAAGAATGTCTTAACATATCTGTGACCATTATAAATATCCTTTTACACAAATAATAATATGCTTCTGGGAAAATCTCAGCGCACACTACAAGAGAACAACCTTTGAAAATATACCACTTCCGAGATGGTACAGTTGAAATATCTTTCTCTCTTCATCTTCATATCACTTCCCGTCCATTAGATCTGATGTATCCGGAAGTGACGTCCAGGCTAGTATAGGAATGTATCAAAGAACTGAATAAACTAGAATACCGGCACAAAGTAGAGCTTGTCTAGGTACAAGGGCATCAGGGCACAGAAAACAACGAAAACGCAGATTAACTTGCTAAAATTGAATCGAACGGATTAAAGGTATCGGCAGTAACCCTGAAAGTACCAAAGGCTGCAGTGCTTAGGGTTGTAGATGACTGAATACAAAAAAGTTATGAGCAATGTTGAGAAAAAATCACAAAACGAACATATGGGAAAATCTTCCTTGGTAAACCAGATGGTTAGGAACAAACTGAGAACAGTAACAGAAATGTTGGCCTGGTAGGCGTTTTAACTACCTTAGAAGTTTTCTATTGTGTCCAATGCAGCTTAATACTTTTTCATTTGGGATTTTATTTGTCCAAAGAATTCGCCTGTAGAGCCACATTTCGAATGTCTCTAATTTTTTATCAATTAGGATTACAATGTCCAAGTTTCTGCAACCAAACATGGCATTCTACGAATCGCAATCTATTGGCTATTTCATTTTTTTGTAAATATTGGGTTATTTTTTACTATTATTAAAAATAATACTAATCATTTATAGGTCCACATCACTTACTGTCTGCGCTGCAATTTCCATATCATGATAGAGCTTCGTTTGTCAACATTATAAGGCCTGTTGAAAAACGACGCAACCTGTTCTCGACGCACACTTATATATTTTAATCACGATCCAAAGAGATGAACAGGAAGAACCGTATTTCAAAAGCAAAAAAATAGAAGATAATTACCTGACACAAACATATCCATATACTTCATTTTTAATAAAGCTTCGTAAGACAATTCTCCGTGGCATTGATCCAAAGTTTCCATAATTTCCTCCCTTAGCTTCTTCTGGTAATCTTGATTGGCAGCTAGTTCATAACCAACAAAACACATTGTTGAGGCTACAGTTTCGAATCCGCCTAAAAAGAAAATTAACGCTTGCGCTGTAATGTCCAGGTTGGTGATTTCTTTTGAAACAGCTTTTCCTAAAATACAAATACAGTATATATTATAGTCTTTTAATATTACAAATTATTTAAAATCTGTTACTTTAAATGCAATGCAATTAAAAAATATTTCGTAAATAAAAAAACACAATAGAATATTTCTTTTATTGTGGGAAATCCATATATTAAATTATTTAGACAGGTGAAACACGAGATTTCCTCTTGGTCATTTGTTGTTTGATGAAGGCTAAGTTATAAGTAATGCCTAAAAGGAAGTTAAGGGAATATCATTGGGAACATCTTAAAGTATCCACCAAAGGCGTAGCTAAAGACATTTCTAGTTTACCTAATGCCATCAAATTCAATCGGAGTCTTTTTGTGAAGAACAAATATGCTTGTAAGTAGAATAATACCCCCTCTGTGGCTCAGTGGTAAGAGCGCCTGCCTTTAAATCTAAAGGTCGTGAGTTCGAATCCCACCTGGGTGGAAATTTTCGTTTATTAAAAAAATTAATAAATGAAAATAATTTCTATCCTTGTGTGATCGGTACACACCGGAGGGACCGCAGACGTTCGGATACAATTAGCGTCTCTTAGCAAAGAAAATGACGTCGACTTTGCTAAGTATCAAGACAATTACTCTACACACACACACACACATACACCTCAAATTGTAAGATTGGCGAATGGATTTAGTGTCCGCAGTCATTTAAACACAAACAAACAACAAAACAAGTAGAATAATCAGATGCCAGCTGAATCATGAACTTTAAACTATGCGAAGCTTGGGGTACATGCTCAAATAGTCCAAGATCCATTACTTTACAGCAGCGATCGACAGCAGCGAAAGGGTCGATCGCGATCGACCCGTCGATCGCCAAAGTTTTTGAAGTCGATCGCGATTCACGGAGAAAATACGGAGACGCTCCTGACTCACCACACGTGCACGATCGAAATAATTATGATGCTATCTCTTCACTCGAAAGTGGCGATAATACCGATTCAGCATATCAGCATTCACAGTTAAATTATGGTACATTCGTTCAGCAAATTCCCAACTGTAAACAAACGCACGTGTTGATATTCGCCCTTCCATTCGTCAAGGGGCTATTAAATATAATTTTATTGCCTTAAGCCAGACGGATTATCATTTTACAGGTCCAAACTTGCCAGCCTGTTTAAATTCAAATTTTATTTTTAGCGTGTTGGTTTTTAATTTAATATATTGTGTGTTATATCGTTATATGTAATAGTTATTGTTGTTTATTTACTGATCGTGCTATTTTTTAGAGTTTAGTTTCAGTGTTTAGTATTAAGTTTTATAGTGTGTAGTGAACTTTTACTCGTACTATCCAAAAACAAAGTATTTGTTAATCAAAAGTAAAAATAGCTTTCGGTAATCACTTTAATAAAGGTAATGTGCTTTTTCACTTCAAGTAAATTTTAATACAATAAAATTTTTAGGAAAAGGAAAAAGACTAATAATCTTTATAAAGGTAAAATATTAAACTAAAGTCACATTGGCAGTGAAGACGGGTTTGTTTCAGAAGGGCTGTGGGTGTTTGAATTCAAAAAGTGTGGACTACCATGAAAAGATGGACAGGAAATCTTTCGAAAATTGGTTCAAAAATATACTATATTATAAGATAACTCCATTATCGTATTGGACAACGCGTCTTATCATTCCAAAAAATTGAACAAATTTAAATAATTGATTAAGCAAATTAGCAGAAAGGATTTAAACAACTTTCCATTTGTTTGAAATTGTGAAAGAGTTTGAAAGACGCTTCGCTGATTTAAAAAAACTGACAGATATTGTAACATTCATGGCTAATCCATGTTCTTGCCAAGACGTGGAAAAAATAGCCACTGAAATATCCGTTACGTTCAATATGGAGATCATTTCCGTCCAAAATGAGGTACTAAAAATAATTTCGGATATACACCTTAAATCCAGAGCGACCGATACGAAATTTTGGTCTTTCATATCGTCTGAGAAGTATCCGTCTTTAAAAGAGAAGTAGCTCTGCAGCTCACAGTATTCTTTGGATCAACATACTTATGTGTCTGCATTTTCTCAAATGAAGATAGTGAAATCAAAATATCGTAACCGGCTAACTGACGAACATCTCCCTTCATGCTTGCGTTTGGCCCTCGGTAATTACGGACCATCATATGAAATACTTGCGGATGATATGCAGTACCATGCATCAACATCAAAATAAAATTAATATGAAAAACATGACTTAAATTACAACTATCTGCATTTACAACTTTTTATCAACTAGAGCTGTGCAATAAAGTTTTTTATTTTCAAAATTATTTTTGCTACTATGCTCTGTTTTTAAACCAGGAGTAAACTAGAGAGACATATTCACACCCAAGAAAGTCACTAGAAAAGTAACTAAATAAATCTTCTTTTTTGGTTGATTATATCCTATATATAATTAACCTATGAAATACCATTAGTGTCAAAATTTCATAATAGTGGAGTAAACTTGCCTAAGTTACTCGCCTGAGGCAAGTTTACTCCACCAATTACAAACAAATATTGCGGCACGGTTAATTTGAATTACTCTTCCTGGATTAAACAGGGTATAACATTGTCGTTTGAGGTTTAACTCAAAAATATTGCAAATGGTATAGAAGCTCTAAACAAATCTTAACTGCTTTTTCTTTTATTTCGATTCACTCTTTATGAGTACAAGAAACCAATTTGCTAAAGATCTTAGATGAGTACATTATGTTGTGGAATGCAATTTTTAGATTCGCTTTATTCTCTCTCTTACATCTTTATCATAGTCTGTTTTGCCTTGCAAATTTATAGAAGACACAGATTAAAGCAAATATCTGAATTTTGGTTTCGTTAATAGAAATGTTCGGATTTCTACTTCCGAGATTTAATAAATATTTAGTTTTTAGGCAGAAAAATATACTTTAGTTTTGGCAAACTGAAATAATATATATATAATAAATAACCTTAATTTTACCTGATATATTTTCGGCTTCTTTTGCCATAGCAAATCCTTCATCCACAGTGTGATCCTCTTTAACATGTACTCCTTTTTTAGCTTCTATTAGTAAGTGTATCATATCAAGACGAACAATTCCTTTTTCTTCTCGCATTTTTATCGTTTTGTCAATTAAATTGGTAAAGAAATTTGTTGTTTTTTTATCAAAGAATGATAATTTCAAAAACTGTAAACAAACAAAACATACAAAAAATGTTATATAAATACTATTTTTTAAATAATTTTGATCATGTTTGATTTTAAATAATATTAATTGTAATTTGGTAGAAAATTAGTAACAATGTTTAATAGATAGACAAATAGAACACTTAATATTATCAAAGAGTATCTTCATAACTGGAAATCTCCGGAACTAGATGGAAATCATAGCTTCTATCTAAAGAAGGAAGATTAAAGACTGAAGAAGATGTCATCAGTATTTAACAACATTAAGTTGTTTCTAATCCATAGGAAATATTATTGCTTACTTATTAAACAGCTTATTTAATATGTGTTTACTCCTTCCCCCCCACCCTCAGGGCATATAAAGCAAATATAAAGAATATTAGAAAAATGTAACTTGTCTTTCACACACAATACAAAAAAATCCAAAACGCTAATTTAATAATTAAATCATCACTTTAAATATGTATTACACAATAATTATTTTATTAATACATATTAGTTAATAATATTTTTTATTATATTTAGATATAGATACCTAATATTACGATCATGATAAGCGTAGACACAAAGAGTCTGTTGCGAGTAGCATGTGCACTGTACCTGCGGCGGCCTTGTGTTCCTTTGCATGCGTTAGCGGTAGAAAGTAGACATCTCTATGAGAGAAGAGAGCATTTGACAACAGCCATAAACAAATAAGAAAGGAAAAGATTAATGGAAATGTGGCAAGAAGGGTGAAACAACACGGAAGATGTTGCCCATTGGACCAAGATGCTGATCTCGAGCTTAAGGGACTAGGTAGATTGCCAGTTTTAGGCAGAAACTTTAGGGGAAAAAATTTCTTTGTAAAAGTGTCCAAGAGAAATCGCTGGAAATAACTTTCAAGTTTTTGGGTTAACCTTTAGGGGGCGTAACCTGTGAAGACAAATTTAAAAATCAGTTTTCTGTTAAATATGTCCAATTATACCAAGTGTTAAATAAGTAAACTAGAAAGAGGCCTAAATTCCGCACAAAGTACTTTTTTATTTATTTTTTTTTTTTTAAATAAATGTTGTGGGAGAGTGGGAAAGTATTTGTGGATAAATACCTATAACTTTGGTTTGGATCAACCGATTTTAACGAAACTAGTGTCATTAAAAAGAAAGTGGATGAATTAATTACATCTACACTAAATAATTGCATTTAGTTTTAATTGTCATAGGTAGAGGATATTTTAATATATAATTTAATAATCAAAATTTGTTTTTCTTCAAAATGTTTAATGGAAACACCTATTTATTGTAAACTATATTGAAACTGGATTAAATTCGTAGCAAAATAGCGGAAACCGCATGTTAATAGCTTTTGTCGAACTCGTGATATTAATAAAAACGCATAAACATAAGTAAGTATAGTATTGACTTAACCTGTATTATAAATTGAATTAAAAATAAGTCAGTAGGTACTTTCAAATTTTTTTATAGCAGAAGAATCTTAATATTGATACCTATTTTGAATATTGTTATTTCAGATGATTTAAAATAGTTTTTTCGAAACTAAATACATATGTATTTATCCACAAATACTTTTCCACTCTCCCCCACCCTTTATTTGCAAAAATAAAAAAAAAGTAATTCAACAACTTTGTGCAGAATTTAGGCCTCTTTCTAGTTTACTTATCTAACACTTGATATAATTGGACATAACTCCCAAAAAACTGGTTTTCAAAATTTTCATCACAGGTTACGCCCCCTAGCGGTTAACCCAGAAACTTGAAAGTTATTTCTAGCGATTTCTCTTGACCACTTTTACTAAGGAATTTTTTCTCCTAAAGTTATAACATAAATAGTTTCTGATATATAGCTAAGAGATCGGCTTATTTGACCACCCGGTACAGAGGAGAGAACCAGAATGTATAGAGCAGTGGTTCTCAACCGGTGTTCCGCGGAATACTAGTGTTCCGCGAATTCCTTCCAAGTGTTCCGCGAAATACTCACAATCCTACATACCATTTTGCTAAATTACTCTTTTCAAATAAACATTTTCAAATTTTAAAATAGCCACTTACGTACATTTTAATTTAATAAAATTCTGCAGCGTAAATGTTCATTTGCCCAACGTGACAACACCGCGTCGGCACAGTGCACACGTTGGATTTTATAAGCGCTGAGCGCTGAGCTCCGCAGTGGCCACAGCCAATCTGAGTCACCCACGCCACAGTCTGCAACTGATTGTTGAATTTGTTACATTGCACAAACGTAATACGTGAAAATCGCTGTGTCAGTTTTTTTATGATAACGTTTACGTTATCATAAAAAACTCAAACTTAAAAGAAAAAACTACTGTGGAACAACTCATAATTAATGATGATGAAGCGAGCACCAGCGGAGATACTGGAACTTTACGAAGTGGGGTTGATGACAAATCGAAGCGCAGCAAAAAAATGTTGAACCGGCAATATCTGGATGAATATTTGGATTATGGCTTCATTTGGACTGGGGAAGAAGACTGTCCAATTCCCAAGTGTATTGTTTGTGTGCGGACACTCGCTAATAGCGCAATGGCTCCGGCTAAATTAAAACGCCATTTTACTACCAAACACGCTAGTGTAGCTTCAAAAAATAAAGATTATTTCAAGCGACTTTTGGAGACACAAGCTAAACAAGCGAAACAATTTGAAAGGTCGCTAACAATTTCCGACAAAGCACAAATAGCTTCATATAAGGTCGCCGAATTAATTGCTTTGAAACAGAAACCACACACTATTGCAGAATCTCTTATATTACCAGCATGTTGTGAGATGGTCAAAATTATGTTTGGCAACGATGCACAAAACGAAATACGGAAAATGTCGGATGATATCTTGATTTGATTTATCTGCAATTATGCTGCAGAGAAATTACAGCACGTACAACAGGTCAGGATGTATTTGATTCCATAACGATTCAAATTTAGAGAAAAAAAATATATCATGGGACTTTTGCGTAGGAATTTGTACGGATGGTGCCCCTTCCATGGTAGGCTCCATAAAAGGTTTTTGTACCCTTGCAAAAAAGCGAAATGAAAATAGCATATCTACGCACTGTTTCTTGCATAGAGAATCTCTAATTTCAAAAACGCTACCAGCTACTTTGAAATCTGTATTAGACCAAGTGGTTAATGTCGTGAATTACATCAAATCAAGACCACTAAAAACCCGTCTTTTTAAACAACTCTGCATCTCAATGGAATCAAAGTATGAATGTTTGTTGCTGCACACCGAAGTTAGATGGTTGTCAAGGGGCAAAGTATTATGTCGACTTTATGAACTTAGAACGGAGCTGTTAACTTTTTTCCAAGAAGAAGGTAATGACACCTTTACCACATATTTTGAAAATGATGCATGGTGCACTAAAGTGGCATATTTGGCCGATATTTTTAATTATTTAAATGGCGTTTAACTCAAGTATGCAAGGCAAAAAATGAAAATATTTTAACATCCACGGACAAAAAAAATTGTCATTTTGGAAGAAGCGCATTTTAGAGACAAATAAAATGGATATGTTTCCACTGCTTCAGAATGAAGGTGATAAAGATAAAGAACAAGAAATCATGCATATAGTTACAGAACACAGGTATTTTCCATCTCTGAACGTAGAAAAAATATGACTGGATAAGAAGTCCTTTTAGCACAAGTAATACAGCCAATTTCCAGTTTTCTCTGAACCAAGAAGAAGAATTTATTTCGTTGTCATCTGATCGTACTCTGAAAATTAAGTTTTCAGCAGTGAATGTTCAGGAATTTTGGATCTTGGTCCAAGAGGAATATCCACTTCTTGCAAAAAAAGCGATTAGTATTTTAATACAGTTATCAACGTCCTATTTATGTTAATTTGGGTTCTCATCTTTAACAAACATTAAAAATAAGAAACGGGAAAGGCTGCTAAACTTAGAACAAGAAACGAGAGTAGCTCTTTCCCACATCAGGCCTGATATTGAGCAAATTTGCAAACGACACCAGGCACAAGTGTCTCACTAATTTGAAGTATTTACTCATATGATGTATTTTGAGAATTACGCTTTTGTTAATTTTAAAAATGTTTTTTGTTTTTATATTTTAAGTAAAATTTTACAAATTTGAGTACGTATAATAAAGTTTATTACAGAATTTATGTGCTAATCCTAATTTGTTTATCAATATACGCATGTTATTGCTTTGGTGTTCCGCAATTTTTTTCGGTAATTAAAAGTCTTCCGTCGCCAGAAAAAGGTTGAGAACCACTGGTATAGAGAAATAGGTGTGAGCCCTGTGACTGAGAGAGGGATGATCGTGAAGATGACGAGAAGTAAGGAGAGAAGGAATAGTGTTCATATTTACATCCGAGCAGTAATTAAAAAGAAAGAAGAAGAAGAGAAACACTGACCAGACAAACGACAGAGATAAGATCTAGATATGGGAAGGGGTGTCCCAAAAATGGTATCAGCCTTATAGCAGCCATTCTACTTTCGAAGTACGGTACGTACGACAGTCAACTGTGCACAAGATAGGGTTTTAGTCAGTAGGCAGGATAACATGTACCTGAATCTTTGGCACTGCTATCTTTAGTACTTAAAATTAAAATTTAGTACTTTTAATTAAACTAAAGCCCAAATTTTATGAACTCAAAACAGAGGTTGCTTAAAAAAAATTCGATGGCAAATTCCCAAAAAAAAAACCCAAAAGGAGTCTAGGTGCACCACTGTATTTAATAACGATCAAAATGATACCAAAATCCACCCAGGTAAGTCCCAATTGCTTGTCTTAAAATTTTTGCACTGTGCTCTCAATAATATCATAGAACATTATCGGAATGGATGCGCTGAGGACATTCCATCACATTGGCTGTAAAAGACAACTTATAATGGACTCAGTTATTTCTAATCAGGCATCCACCATAAAAAGAAATATTTATTTACCTTTCTTGACTACAACAAGTTGAAATTACATTGAAAACCTATAGATATATTGATGTAGATATATAAGAATATATAAATTGAACATCGATCATAAATTGGTATTGTGCAAATTTTGAATGAAAACACATATATGTGATAACAAAACACCAAAATATACCAAAAGATAAAAATGAAAGGCAGGTTTACAGGATGACTCCACAAGACACATGTTAAAAAAAATAGCGAAAAAAGTAGAAACACATATCTAATATCTATATCAATATCTAATATCTATAAACAAAAATATATCATTCTCAAGGCCAAGAACTCTATGGTTTTGTACAGTAGTAAAGGAAAAATGTAAAGAAAGGAAAAAGCTTACCTGAAATACATTTCAATCAAAACACAAGACGCATGCCATAATTACAAGACAATTACAAGCAACTAAACACATGCACTTATAAGAAAAATAAAAAATGATCAGTGTAATCGCCTTTCGAAAAAAAAATGGAATATTATTCTTATGGTCTGCCAAAGGACAATATACATCGGGGTGTGTGGAGGCTATATACACCCTGCAATGCACATCACAACACACCCACACAAATTAGCATGTAAGAATAAAAGGGTAAGAATTGTGCCGGCATTTTATAGTCCCAACGCCAAGGAAGACCCCCAAACCCAAACAAAAAATCGGTTGTTTTTCTTTTAAGTTCAGAACTTCTAAAATCAATTTCAATTCATTAAACGTTTCAACGTAAAATTCATCCTATTTTTCTATATAGAAGGCCCGTCAGGCCTTCTATATACCGCTGATGCGGATTAGGCCCTTAAGGCGGATCAAGTGAATGCTGATCCTTTTCGCGACACCCGAACACGGAGGTCATGTGCGGCAAGCATGGGCTCGGTGGCCGGACACAATTCGGGCGCCCAGCCGGCGAGGAGAACAAAATTTACTTTTGCCAAATCGGCGGCTGAGTGACCGAGCACACACTTTTTACCGGACATGAAGTCGACAGCCCAGGCTGTCGGCTTTATGGACGGAACACACGCTCTTTTTCTTTTTTTTTGGGACTCCAGTCCCTAAGTGAAGTTAGAGTAAAATCTATAGAGTCAGTAAAGTAAATAGGGAGAAAAGCCTAATGTGGCTACCCCTACAGTCAGGTGGCATAACCACAGTAATTAAAAACAGGAGGTGTCTCATTACCCAGGGCACCTCAAGTAACTTTCAGATCATAAGCCTCCTCACGCAAGTCACACGATGAGGAGGGGTGGTGGAAAAGCCTGGGGTCAGATAGGTACCACTTCAACTAGTGAAGTGTGACCGGTTTGATCTTCGGACACGTGGATCCCATAATTAGTTTGGTATACACATGTTCCTAGGGGTAGGGTTGATTGCTTAGCGTGATTGTGTGTGTGTGTGTGTGTGTGTGTGTGTGTGTGTGTGTGTCTGCCAAAGGAAATACGGTGCTTTATAAATATGCCTCAGGTTACACCAGTGGGGTAAGTGTAACTCATGGACTACAAGAATAAAAAAGGAACAAAATAAAATTGGAAGGTGTGATTCTCTCATATGTTGGCGTAGCAGTTAATTAATGTCTCTTCAGTAATCTAACCAAAATTAAGTCAGATTTAGAGACATATTATTTGGTTCTTCTTCTTACAGTGCCAATCCGTTCCGGATGTTGACGATCAACATGACTATCCAACTTTGCTTGCTACTATTCTGAATAGTCCGGTTGTCGATGTATTAAACCACTTTCTCAGGTTTTGAAGCCAAGATATTCTTCTTCTTCCTGGTCCTGTTTTTCCAAATACCTTGCCCTGAAGAATGAGTTGCAACAAGCCGTATCTCTGTTCATTCCTTATAACATGGCCAAGATATTCTAGTCTGCGCTCATTGATGGTGTTATAATAATCTCGCATTTATTGCCTATTCTACGTAGGACATCAACATTAGTCACACGATCCACCCATGAAATTCTTAAAATACGTCTGTAACACCACATCTCGAATGCCTCGAGTTTTTTTAAAGAAGCTTTGGAAAGTGTCCAGGCCTCTACTCCGTATAATAAGGTAGAAAATACATAGCATCTATTTAGAGAGATTTTGGTAGCAAGTGGTAAATCGTGACTTCTGAAAAGAGACTTCATCATTATGAACGCTGATCTCGCTTTTCCTATGCGTTGTTTTAATTCACTGGAGTGATTCCATTGACTGTTAATGTTGGTACCAAGGTATTTGTAGCTGTCCACTCTGTCAATTGGATGTTGGTTAACCAAAAGCTGTGTATTTAATATTTCGCGCTTACTGACTACCATGTACTTTGTTTTGTTCGTATTAGGACAAGTCCGTGTTATCTACTTATATCTGATATACGCGACATTATTATTTGCAAACCGTCCAGACTATCTGCAAAGACTACTGCGTCGTCGGCATATCTAATGTTGTTTAGACGCATTCCGTTGACTAATGCGCCTTCGTGTAGTTCTCCTAGCGCTTGCTCGAAGATATATTCAGAGTATATATTAAATAACACCGGGGACAGAATGCATCCTTGCCTCACTTCTCTATCTATGGAGACTGCCTCTGTCAATTGGTCATCCACTTTAATATTGGCTGTTTGGTTGTTTTATAAATTATAGATGATTCTTAAGTCACTATCATCTAACCTCACTTCTTTTAAGATGTTTATAGTTTATCATGCTTTACTCTATCAAACGCCTTTTTTTAGCCGATAAAACAAATATACACATCACAGTTAACATCGCGGGAAGGAATCGCGGAATCCAAACTGCGTCCATGATACTTGTTCTTCGCATTTTTTGTATATTCTGCCGTGTATCACTTTCAAGAACGTTTTAAGTAAGTGGCTCATTAGGCTAATTGTTCTGTAGTCTTCGTATGTCTTGGCATTTACTTTTTTTTGGTATGGTCACGAAGGTCGACTTTAACCAGTGTTAGGGTATTTTCCAGTTACGTATATGTTGTTGGAATACAGTTGTATTAACGTATATGTTAGGAATTCTGCACAAAACTCGTCACGCCCTACCGCTTTACCATCTTTAGTTCTTTTATTAGCTGACGTGACTTCTTCAATGGTAATCAGGGGTCCTGTTTGGCATCCAGTGTCTTCAATGGTATTCTGCCTTTCATCTGCAGAAGTTACTTCCACATAATTCTTCCAAATGTCTAGTTTTTCTTTCACAGTTAACAGTTTTTTTGCCTTGGTTATCTGCCAAACACCATACTCTTCTAGGCTTGTATAAGCGTGCTGCTTCTTTAACTTTTTTGTGCATATTAAATGAATCGTGTGTATGTTGCAATTGCTGTATTTCCGCACACTGTTTTCTTAGATGTGTATCCTTAGCTATTCTAATAGCTTTTTTGATCTTTGTATCGATTCTTTCGTATAATGACATGTCTTGATCTTTGAACATTCGCCTCTCTTCCATCATGTCTAGAATCTTATTTGTCATCCACGATTTCTTCTTTATTTTTGGTGGTTTGAGAAATTTCTCTCGTATGTCTTTTGAAACTGTATGTAATTTTTCTAGCTCCTGGTCCGTTACATCCGATTGAATAACGGTATTCAAATTGTTCTGTATATACCGCTTTACACTATGTTCTCTGTGTTGGTCTTTTAATAGCTTGATGTCGAATTTTGGATTGACACTACATCTAACCTTCTTTAGCCTAAGCCCAATTTTACCAATCAGTGGGTTATGGTCTGATTTGATCAGCTCCTGGGTATGTCTTGACTGATGTTATGCTGTTTTTTTTTTGTTAATACACTTTAAATATGAACTACTGAAATTCACGGTTCCACTTACCCTGGTGTACCTTAACACAAAAGGTATTTTATAATTTTATACCAAAAAAAATATTGAAACAAAAACATGACGTACGTTTGCCAGTCTTGGAAAAGCTGCAGCAATAAAAAACTTCAGCATCTTTAAACCGCCAGTAAAATTCGTGACTTCCCTTCCCATCAAGTAAAATTCATTATCAGGATTCTCTAAAGAATCGACCTTAATACCAAACGCAGTTGTAGCTATTACATCGTTTGTAAATCTCGTAAAAGTTTCTTTAAATTCGAGTTCCACAATGTCCTGGTTCTTGTTCTGGAAATGCTTCGAAAAGTTTTGGGCACATTCTCTCATTAGTGCAAACATAATTCTCATTTTACTGCTCGTAAAGGAAGGACTGAGAACAGACCTCATGTCGCGCCATTGTTGGCCTAAAACAAAATATATAAAATATGGATTATTCAAAAATTATTGTTCAATTTTAGGTAAAATTTCATGTCGAAAGTTGATTCTGCTGGCTGAAATTAATACACAGCTTTTTATCATATTCTAATATCTTTTTGATTTCCTACCCACAAATTAAATAGCACGCATGAGATATATTCAAATAGTCATTGTTATCAGTGACCTTGCAAAGATACACATTGATAAAATCGAATCATTCAGACATATATCATTGAGTATAGTTAATTCTTGTTTCACTTTTTTTCTGTCTTGTTCCATAAGACTTAGAAACGCCGTATGAATTGCCACACCCAACCAATCTATTTTTGGTTTAAATTTTCCTTTGTCGGGATGGTTTTCTACGTCGCTATGGCCCTGTATAGAAACCTTCATTTACTTATTAATGAGGAGCCCTAAAATATTTTTCATTTTTTATAGTGATGATTTTATGAATGAAACGATAGTGAATCTAATGTTCGAACTAACCCATGATGAATTAAGACGTTTCTTACAATTTCAATAAATATGTTTGCAATTGCCCAAGCCAGTACTTCTGGTCTTCTTTTTGACAAATTTAGACTGTGTAGGAACATTCATATAAATTTACATTTAGCCAACTCCTCAACCAAACGATAAATACGTTTTTTACTGACAAACTTTAAGATGTTAGAGTAAAGTCGGTTTCCTTATATTTGTACATAATTTTCTACATATCATATTAATATTAACCTTAATCACAGACAGACATTATCTAAGCATCTTAGACCAGGTTTTCTTTGATCTTCTTCTATTATTTCTTCGAAGAACTTGGCCAAACCATCTCCCTCATTTTAGCATTAAATTTTATCCTTTTTCATCACTTAACTTAGTCATCAAAATATTTTTATTTCCGCTACATGCACATCCACTCGCCTCCTTTAATTTGTTTTATTCCACTTTATGAACACTGCATTGGCCTGTAACTATTTCCCAATTTTTGTTTGATCCTACTTACAAAAACTATGACTTACAGTAATTTTACAATTAATGGTAATTTTACCATCCACAGTTATCATGTTATTCGTAAGTTTATATTTAAATGACCACTTTAGATGTTGCGTTTGTGTCTTACTAAACTTTTCCATTTAGCTAGACAACCTTTTTAAAGACAAGCTAATGTGGAAACATTTTTCCACATTAGCTTGTCTTTACTGCTCCAGTCTCTGTTTTTAATTCCTTCTCAGCATTTTCTAGTGTTACATCATGACCAAAAAGTGTCATTTTTAAATGTATATATATATATATATATATATATATATATATATATATATATATATATATATATATATATATATATATAATATATATATATATGTATATATATATATATATATAATATATATATAATATATATATATGTATATATATATATATATATATATATATATATATATATATATATATTTATATTATATATTTATAATAGAAATTATTTAAAAAATAAAACTTTTCACCTCTAAGCGCTACCAAATTTTTTGTCCAAAGTGGGTCGGAGTTTTCAGACATTTGATTAGTATGATCCATAAAGTGATCAAAATTTTTGACAGTAACATCTTTTATAAGTTCGGGGTCATGAATTGCCAACATTGGTTTAAAAAATTGATAGGCTCCAACATACCTAAAAATAAAAGGTTTATTAATATTTTCTATTGATTATTAAATTTTTTGAAAATAGTCCAATAATCGAAATATAATAATGTATGATCAGATTAGTTTATTTTAAAATTTTTATATTTTTACATCGGTTTTAGAAAACAAGAGTCGAATTGGTATATGAACAATATTTTATTAGAAATTTGTATATGTAAATGATACTAACCTGGATTTGGGAAACATTTTGTATCCTATCACAGACATTTCGGCAATACTAGTCGTCTTGGACAACAAAATATAAATGTTTTTAAATATATATTTGATATCCGGCTGGTCTACATTTAAATCTTTCCAATAGTGTAAACGGTTTCTCACGAAGAAGCATAAGGCAGCAGCGACTCCTGCTGCTACCAACACTAACATCAGAAGCATAACTGGGATGGTAACTACAGCTGAAATAAAATTGCACAAATTAACATCCTACAATATTTTTATAAAATGAAGATATTTTATCATATAATTACAAAACAGTATACCTATAGTAGTTTTTATTACTACTAAAGTTAGTTAAAGCTTGTTCGAATGTTTTTTAATTTGTAGTAAGTTTGTATATTCTTATAATATGGAATGGTGCCAAATTTTGTTTTGCCTGGGCACTCAAACTCAACTGGGGAGATATATTGAGCCGTTGAAAACCAGAGTGGTCTAAGTCAGAAATGCTGGTGTTCTTGAAACGATGACTTAAAGTTAACATGTTGGCTAAATGGGAACATAGAGACTGACTATGATCAGGATAATTTTCAATAAAAAAGCTTGAAATTAAACAATTCCAGTGGAATAATGAGTCAGTACTCAAAATGTATATATTTTTTGTTAATATTTTAACTTAGAACACTCTGGTTTTCAATATGTTCAATGTTTTGAAATAAAGTAAAAAAATAGAATTACAAACGAATGTGTATTTCTGTATATAATATACAAAATTGAAGTCTTATTCATAAAGAACGTCGTCGTCTAAAGTCCCATCCACCAAAATGTCTTCCAGTGGACCTACTTCTTCTGTGTTGTATCCATGTACGGATAAATTTTTGAAAAAGTCGTGATGAATGGGCGGTATAAACTCCAAAAGATCTTCCATATCCTTCTTTTTTTTAGTAGTAACTGGTATTGGAGCTTCATACAATTTTGAAAATTTAATATTTTGAAAATTGGCAATACGTCATTTTGGTACAGGTTGTAAGTTTATCAACATTAGGCATCAAAAGGAAACTCCTCATCTAGTGTTTTTTTATAAAATATTTTATAGGAGTCACTTTTTCTAAATTTGTAGCGATTGAATTTTCAGCCATGATTCTGGCGGGTTATCTTTATTTTTCTTTCGTCTGGTAACAGCTGCTCCCAGGATTTGTGACGATACAAAATTATTTCTTCTACCTTGTAAAAAACGATACAGTTTCTTTGTGCGACACTTCTCAAACACTCTATAACAGTCTTTAGGAACATACCTCACTCTATTCTTTGCGTATTGTTCGTTTACGCCAAAATCGCGATCATTCGGGAGAAAGGAATGTTCGGAAACCATAAACTTATGGTCCACTATTTCTAAATTATCGGAATCTGCAAATAGTTTCAACCAAAACAATCACTGTTTAAAGTTCCTATTCTATCCCCCACATGCATCACTAAATGCAATAATGTGTGTTGCGTCCTTTGTGTCTTCTAGAACATGCTTTCAAATGCAAGATCCTATTTCTTGTGCTCCTAGAGATGTAGTTTTATCCCAGGCATAGAGAAACATCTTGTCTTCGTCGCTAAACTCATGAATACCTAAATTATATCCATACATTTTCTTTTATAGTAGGCTACGGAGCAAGTCAAAGTTGGAAACAGTAAGGTTTCTTCCAAATTAAACGTAAGTCGCTGGTTTAGACAATTTTACAATACCAAATAGAAAAGCATTTTGTGCTGAAAAATTAGATATATTCCAGAAATTTGTAAACATAGCTTTCCTTTCTTTCTGAGAAATGTTTTGACTACATGTGCCCTGGCATGAAACTCTTTCGCCTTTACCAACTTTTAAGATGTAGCAACATATTGTTCTCCACAGTTTCTTTTTTGTTTCAGTAAACATTCTTGACGTGTTTACTAGGTCCTCTATTTCGCTTTCTGCCGACATGCTTGGTAGTTGATCCCAATACCAACTTCGGACGTTTGTCAGCTGAAACAAATGTGCAATAAAAGAGGGAATATGACATACGGTGAAGTAGATAGGTTTACTTTCGCCATATTGGATAGTACTTCTTGTCAAAGTGTTAGTTTTAAGTAGTAGTGGATGAAAAATTTTATTTTATAAATATTTTAAACTTTTTTGTGTGATTCTTTTACATTAGTTCAAAGTTACTTTAGCATGGCTTCATGTGTATTGAGATAGTGTGCAGCAACACTCGATGATTAAATAACAAAAACTCCACAAGAAGAACTTTTCATGGGTTAGTACGCACAAGTAAATAGTATACAGGGCGGTATTACTTTTATGTTAATGATGCTGCGTGCAAAAAGAACAGGTAATTTTTTAACTTGGTTATGTGGCTGTCGATTTCCTAAAGATTTTGAAACCAAAAAACCATGGACACAATTTGTACATAGAGAGAACTGGGAAACATCGAAATACAGAAAATTGTGTTCTAAACATTTTGCGGAGGAATGTATAAATATAAATTCGGCAGTTTGTGTTCATTTGCGAAAAAATGCAAGCTCTACAATTGGTGAATCTCGGTAATACTAATCATAAAATATTAATTAATTAAATAGGTAATTAAAATACTACAAGTAATATTCTAAATTGCACCTGGACATTACACAGCATACTCAGCATACAACTTTAGCTATACATTTCATTTGTTAAAAAGTTTGTATAGGTATAGGCGTGAACGAAGAGATTTCTACTATTAGAAGGTTCTTGATATACTTTTTACAATTTTGTATATGTACTAGTTAATAACTAAACACATTTTTACTTTGACCATTCTTTAAATATGTACTACAGTATACTTCCTCTATAACGAACATGGTTATTACGAGGTTTTGCTTATACCGAGGTACATTAGATGTCCCGTGAAATTTTTATTGAATTATAACCCTCTATAGTGAGGCATATTTGGTTTAACGAGAAAAAATAAGATCGAAAAGCGTGTTTTTTTACGGTTTTGACCCGGCAGTGGCTATAAATAAATACCTTTTTTAACTGCCGCCCGTAATAAACTTCTTCTGTTTAATCTACCGACCGATATTGTGTTGTCGGAAATTTACAATTTATGATTCACAAGTGACAGTGTAGGGGTTTGGCCATTCGTACCTAATAAACTACGTAAAGAGGCTTAAAAATGTGACAAATGAAACAAATCTCACCAGAATCTCATTTGACAGATGTTTTGTCGTAGATGTTTATCTTTCATTTTCTGATTGTGCTTTTGCGTCTTGAAAGTTGTGTTGTAGATTACATAGTCACATAGACTACACACTATGGCTCATAAAAGAAAAGCATTTACTTTAGAAGAAAAAAATTAACATCCTAAAAATGTTGAGAACGGTAAGAAGAAAGCAGAAGTTTGTAGTGAAAGAAAAATTTCAAGTTCCAATCTATTTACCATGCTCAAAAATAAACACAAGATTTTCGAAGCAGGTTCGTTTTTTTCTGGAAATCGGAAAACCTAGGTGCCGCAACTAATAAAGAAGTCGATACTGCAATGGTCAAAAAAGTCCATGTGTTTCCAAAGAAGTCACCGACAACTGATTGAAGTGATGGCCTAAAATAAGACAAAATTGCAGTGATGATAATGTTTTCAATGCCGAAGAGTTGGGACTTTTTTTAAACTTACTCCAGATAAGACCCTTAAATTCAAACATGAACGTTTTATAGGTGGCAAGTTATCAAAAGAAAGGGTAACTGTACTCGCGTGTGCTAATATGTCCGGTTACGAAAAAGGGAAGTTAGTCGTCATTAGGAAATTTTAAAAACCACGATGTTTCAGAGGTGTGAATCAGCTTCCTGTCCCATATAAATTTAATTAAAATCTAGGATGACAGCAGAGATTTTTAATGGAAAACTTTTGAAGTAGGACAGAGAGTAGGGAGATCAAAAGATTCTTTTAATTATTGACAATCAGTCCATCCGAAAGTTAACGGTTTAAAAAATATACAACTTCTCTTTTTACCCCCAAATTACACATCTGTTCTACAATTGATGGATCAGGGAATCATAAGGTCCCTTAAAGTTCACTACAGAGAACTTCTAGTTAAGAGGATCCTGAATAATGTGAAAAACCGTAGTGAATCTCCTGCTACTTTCTTAGATGCCATAAATTTCATCCATAAAGCATGGACACTCGTAGATAAAAATCAGAAAATGTTTCGGTCATGCGAAGTACATAGAGAGTAAGGTAGAAAACTAAGAAGGTGAATATCTTATAGCAGAGTGGTTGAGATTACAATAGCAAGGTGAAGAGCTAACCCAACTGAACAATGATGACGAGTCTACTAAAGCTAAAGAGAAGCGGCAGCTAAAGAAAAAAAATGTACGTTTCTTTCAAACAATACGGTTAGTCGCCGTATTCACGACATGGCAGAAGATATTAATGAGCAAATTGTGGGGAAACTTTCAGGGTTATTTGCCATTCAACTGGACGAGGCGACTGATAGCATGATACTATAATAACAAGATAGGATCTTCCCGTAGCACAAAATAGGTCGTTTTCGTCCATGCCGTCATTGGAGAGTAGAATTTGAATTCTTGTTTAAGTTAAATGGGATTTGTATGTATTCTGTGATGAAATTACTAGACGAAAATAAGTTAAGAGGTTTAGTAATTACAATAATCGTACACATAAGGATATCTCCAAACTATTTATTAAAGATTATTTATTGATACATACAAAAAGCTGACACTTCGAACGTCAAACTCTTCAATGACGTCACGATTTATGCGCAATATCTTATCTTCTTAGTCTTAGTATCATGACTGATAGTAATTATAATGCTCAATTGATATGCTGTGTACGGTACATACAAGAAACAAAATTATGTGAGGATTTGGTATTGTGCAGAAAAATATGTGAAAGTTGTAAACCAATTGATTTATTCGAGATTTTAAACTTATATATGACTGAAAATAATATTGACTGGGATAACTGTGTAGGCGTGTATACAGATGGTGCCCAAGCGATGTCTGGACATTATGGAGGACTACAAGCTCTCATCAAAACTAAGAATCCAAGTGTAAAACAGACACATTGTGTCATACATAGAGAGGCCTTAGCAGTGAAGAACGTTACACCTGAATTAAGTGTTGTTATGGATAGCATTATTAAAGTGGTGAACTACATTAAAACACGACCCGTGAAATCAAGACTTTTGCATAAACTTTCTAAAGAAATGGGTACCGAGCACACTTTTTTAATTTATTATTGCAACTCTCGTTGGCTGTTCAAAGGCAATAAATTTTACACAAATACATACAGAATCACGTGATGATGCGCAAAATTTTATAAATTTAGAGTTTATAATAAAACTAGCATACCTCTTTGACATATTTAACAAATCTAATGATCTTAATAAGTCTTTGTAGGGAAACAATACTCATATTCTGCAATTGGCAGATAGAACTGCTAGGTTTCAGAAGAAGTTGCTCTTATGGAAGAGAAAATTAGAAGATCGACAAATTGACTGTTTCTCTGCTTTACAAGATATTGTACAAAAAAAAAATCGATAGAAATCCTTGGTACCATCTTTAAAAAATATGTTCACCTAACACATATTATTATCGAGCCAACACTTTGAGAAATATTTTACCGAAGATATGGAGCAATATGACCGGGTCAGAAACCCTTTCCTATCAATTACGCCACCGACATTTTTAACAGAGGAAGAAGAACAACTGACAGAATTGTCCTGTGATACCAGCCCAAAGCTTCAATACGACAAGGATAAACTGTTTGAATTTTGGAGCTCATTTTCTTAGGAATATCATGCAATCAGCACTGTTGCATTAAAGGTTTTATCATTTACCATTTTCGATTTCTTACTTGTGCAAAACGGGTTTTTCTGCAGTTGCAGTAATTAAAAACAAGTACAGGGCAAACATAATCTTAGAAAAAGAAATGAGTGGCAATTTCCAAACTGAAGTCCCGATTTAATAGGCCGTGCTAAAAAAAGCAACCATATCCCTTGCTTTAACCAGCCAGTTACATAAATAAATATCCCTTTTCATTTTTGTGTCTATGTTTTGATTTCGTTCTTAATTTAAAAAAAATTTAATGTTCAAATAGTGTTTTTTGTTATAACTATAACCTGTAACTAGTCTAGTACTAAAATTGGTAAGTATTATTGGGGGCTGAAGGGGCGTCGCAAAAAAATAGCAAAGTTCCAAGGTCCTCATAGTACGAATAAATTTGGGAAGCCCTGGTTTACCTAATTTATAAATTAACTTAACTGATAAACATTAAAAACACTTATTGTCAAGATAAACAGATTGTGTGAATTAATTTTCAAAAAAAAATGTTTAAATATTGTTCTAAAGCTATTTTATTGTCGCATTGCAATATAATTTTAAAAACTATTTCCGAAGTGGAAATCGAAATGTTACAATAATTTTATTTTAAACTAATATTGTGATTAAATCCCAATGAAAGTAGTAAATCCCTATTTCTGGTTTGTTTTCTTCAATAAGTTTATTCTGCAATACTTATTGCATTGCTCTCACAATCTTATAATTAAGTAGACAACAATAAATAAATGTGAAATAAATGATGTATAATAAATATTGTCTAGGTATTAATAAAAGTCATTTACCTGTGAAATTAAAAATAATACAAATAATAAAATTTATCGATCTAACCCGCTCACAACATATCACTTGGAATGGAATTTTTTTATGGAATTTTTTTTTAAACAATGGTTTTATTTATTTATATATGTAGATAGATTATTATCTTACGCAAGATTGCACCATAACTGATAAATTATCGTGTATACACATACAGTTTGGCGAGAGGCGACTGTCAATGTTTGAAATGAAGGTGGTCAGCCTGCCGACCTCCAAAAGTCAGATGAGTAGCAAGTAGCAAGAGGAAATTGACTATATTTATAATATGATTAATATTTTATCGTAGTTGTAATTATTATTCGCTTTAATACTCATTGTCTTGTTTGTCTTAAAGTTATTAAAAATAACTAAAAAAAACGAAATTACCAATATACAATTATAGCAGAGTATAACAAAAAAAAATCGATTTAAAATGGATGAGAGAAATAGGTATTTTTCTTCTCATATCTTCGCCTCAAGGTAACAGTAGGATATGTAAAAAAATGACTTTTGTGATATTTATGTCAAATGATTCGAAATAAACCCTTCTGTTAATTGTAACAGTAGGATAAATGAAAAGTGATATACTTTTTTTGTAATATTACATATCCTTGTGTAACTTAATTCCTTTTAGCCCAAATTTTATAATGTAACACTAAGACAACATACATATCATACCATTATATTTTGTCGTTTACCCATTTTGGTCATCAATATTAATGCAACACTCACATATCCTACTGTTACCATGTAATTATTGCTGAGTTGCGATTATGTCTTTGTTTATACTATCCAGTTTGCGGTCACAATTTTATCTTCATTAATCTTAAACAATAGTTCTATTACTATGATGTTAAAAGGTGTATGTTAAAGTGTAAAATTGAATAATTCGGCCAATTTAAATTGTACAAATTATGGGTATCTAGAAGTCAGTATTTACTGTATTTAGCGAACAAAAATAACACTGATTCTGAGTTGTTATCTGGAATTTATCAAGCACAGGAAAAAGGTAAGTTAAATTCATGATAAATTCCCCTTTAGAATTTTTGGGCTGATTTAATAAAATGCAATAAATTTGTACTTTCACAACTTTCAGTATCCGCCATTACCATTACTGATTCTGATGATTTTTTCATTTTATTTTGTTAATCCATTCAAATATAAAAAAGTTATTAATTACTGAAGTTTCGTAATATTTTTAAATGCGTTTTTCTCGAAACTACATTATTTTACTACTTCACTCATTCATCTAAGCATTCTCTTCTCCACCGCAGTTTTTTTTAACTGTATGTAATGTATTTTCATACATTTGATGCCTGCATGCCTTTTCTACTAGCATTATGTCCAGTATAATTTGGCTAACACACTATAAATGCAACCAAAGTTTAGCCTTGCCCCGCAAGGCAAGGGCATAGAATAATAAACAATCATTGGAATCAGCCATGTTTTAAACGGAACCAGTGCTGTTCAGTGACATTTTATCTTGTGTGCATAGAAAAATTAACCCGGTTTAATTTATTTACGGCAATCATAGACATAATATGCACAATTTTATTCGTACTTTTAGTTGAAGAATAGATTAAATTATTTCAAATGTACTAAATTATTAATCTCTAAAAATTTAAATTATAATTCTGTCGTAGCTTGTCACAAATTTCTCAATTCGAGTCTATGTTTCCGTCTAAAATATGGCCATCGCGTGCTGACAAACTTTAAATTCGGCATCTGAGAGTGGGCATTCTAATTGTTATCCATTTTGTGGCAAGGGTTCTTACTGTATGAACTACCTTGTCACTTGTCAGACAAAATATTATTATTGTTAATATTTTCTTCTATTATATTATTTATTTATAGTTAATATCCTGCCATAGAAAAATTACTTCTTAAAATACTGAAAACACTGGTTAATAGTTTTGTTTGTATATTATGTATATATAGCTACATTAAAATGCCAGATTTTTTATATTTTAGCTACAGATAACCTTTTATATTACCTACGAAAACATTTTTGGAAACCTTTACAATTTTTAATTTGTCACACAGTTAAGACAAGAGCAATAATACTTACAATAAATAACAAATAACTTTATATTTTGTACACAAGTATTATCAAAACAACAATAACCTTTACCTATCTCTCTACTGTCAATTGAATTGACCTTGGTTATATAATTAGTACTGTTGTGTATAAGTGTAGATATAAAAAAATGGAGTACAAAAGTGGCGCCTAGTTAAATTTGAATATTATAAACACGTAATAGAAATTAACACACATTTGACGATCTCTTAATATAACGTTATTAGGACGTATTTTATGTACACGAGTTTTAGGGATAAAAATAAGTCGATTTGTCCGAAAAGTGCATCCAAAAAAATTACGTGTTCAAATTACAAAATAAAACCGATTTTTAAATATTGTTCCAAAACGGTATAAAAGTTTATTATGAAAATTTATAATGTATTAGCATGTAGTAGTAGCAGTTACGGAAAAAAACTTCTCGATTTTTCTAGATTTTAGGTTGTCTCCAAACCTCCCCTACCCCAACTTTTTTTGTAATATAATATTGGATTAAAAACCAGATGTCAATAGAATGATTACCTATTTTACAACTAGGTACTTTGTCTGCTGGTGTTTATTTGTAAAATCATCCATTTAGAAGATGCAGTTACGTTTTTTACCTGCCAAGATAAAATACCTAATACAATTATACAGATATTAAGATTATTACTAGATTAGGCCAATTGTTGGTGTGGTCTCTATCTTACCTAATAGTGATTTGACAGTTATTGTGAACGAAAGTTTTGTTTGAATTAATTAAATCGAAAGAGTCATCTGTAAAGTCAATGTGGAATACTACATTAAAAATGGTACAATAAAAATATTTAACGAAATACGGCATAAAAATTGACCCTTTTACGGATATATCTTTAAAATTATCCAATTCAATTGGCCAGAGATACCAAGCAGAGGCAGCTTCAAAATATTCAATAAAAAAAATTCGGTTCAAAAGCATTATCCGCCAAAGAACTATGAAAAATCATCGAAAGTTGCGACGAGAAAACCCCTGATGGAGCACAAGAAAAAATATTTTTCGCCTTTGCTTATTTAAACATGCTTGGAGAGGCAATGAGGCCGTAAACTGCAAGATTCACTTTTTCCAGAAGGAATTTGATGTTATGGGAAAATTTAAGGGTCGAATTAAATACTGCAGCATTTTTTCCAAAACAAATCAAGGCGGTTCGAAAAGTTTGGCAAGCAGCAAACATCGTCATCATCATCATCAGTAGCTCGACAACCCATTCTGGGTCCTGACTTGTTCTAGGATTTTCCCCCATTCTGTTCTGTTCCTTGCTTTGTTTTTCCAGTTGGAAATCATAAATGTTTTCAGATCTTGTTCCACTTGTTCCATGTTTCTAAGTTTGAGTCTTCCCTTTGACTTTCTCCCTACTGGTATTTGCCTCATTATATTGTAACGACTATTTTGCTTACCACAAGGTAAGAATATGGGGGACAAGATTGGGCAAACAAAATAATCGAAACAAGTGCATACGACACTCAGTTGGTTGTTGGAGAGCTGGGTCGTGGATAAGTTGAAGATATTGGGGGTTAGATTGGGGCAACTACAAAAAAAAAGAAATAAAGGGGTACTTATACAAATCTCTTGGGACAAACAGAATGAAAATAAACGGAAACACACCTCAAGAAATTTAATATAGGGCACCACTTGAGGTGTAATTATACCTATTACAACCACTAGTTGTAACTAGGGAAATAATTATAGAACATCAAAAATATAGAAAAAAATATCTTTTTCTAATAAAACTCAAAATAGATCAGAGAAACAAATTAAACATTTATTTTTGTCTCAAACAAAACAGATCAAAGATACATATTATAAAAGAAACATATCATATAACATAATACAAATAACAAAAACTTACATGTTCTTTGTTTACTATATTATGGCCAATTAGATTATCAAAAATTAAGGATACCTGTTAATAAAAACATAGTAAAATTTAACCTTATATAAATATGAAATATCGTTTCTACATAATAATCAAATTAAAATTGTCATAACAAAAAAACAAATTAAAGCTTGCTGTCAGGTATCACATTTAATTTTGATGACAAAGAAAAAAGCATTAAAAGCATAACCATACATATTACAATTTTTTAATTTGTTATGAAAGCAATTATTACTTTAGCCAAAAAATATCTGTCTTTACTTTGAAAAATTAATATATTGAATTGTTACCTTAATGTTTTTTTTTTATACAAACACTTTGAAACTTTACATCTCTGGTTAAGCTACTCGGACAAAACTTTCAAAACTGGAAGGCAGCAACCATCAGGAACTAGTTCTATACTCCAGGGCAAAACGATTGGAACGGGAACTTGGTGAAAGAATCAAGCCGACTACGGGGACATCCTATATTATACTTCTTAGAAGCTTCCGGTATGTATTCAAATCTGATAGTATTATCATTGACCGGTCCTAAGACATTTCAAAAGAAATTGAATCCTCTTTGATTCAAAAATGGCCCAACATTTCACATCCGCAAAAAGCGTCTACCACCGTTTCAAATAGGTTCTTGGACTCACATTGTAGCACGTCTGCTCTGCTTCAAATCTAATCGTCGACTCTTTTTCAAATCTTTGACTCAATTGTCACATGTCTGCCCCATTTCAAATCAAATCTTAGACTCTACATTGTAGCACGTCTGCCCTGCTTGGAACTTAAATCTCGACTCTGTTTCAAATCTTTGACTCAATTGTCACATATCTGCCCCGTTTCAAATCAAATCTTAGACTCCACTTTGTAGCACGTCTGCCCTGCTTGGAACTTAAATCTCGACTTCTATTCCGCGTTACATTTTACCAATTCCAAGCCAAAAATAATTTCCTTCCGTCTTGCAGCTAGCCTGTCGCCCACAAACTTAAAACAAACAATCTTCCCTTTGTTATTCGTTTCTAACGATGAAAGACAAATAAAACCTTTTTTTATCAGGAGGAATCATGAATTATAATCCCTAGATATACATAATACAAATTAACAAAATAGCACGTATTTTAAACTTTAAACATGTAACATAATACCTCTTTGGCGACAAAAAAAAACTTGTTATTTCACCTAACATTGCAACACAGAGATAAAAACATATTTCCAGCGTTAATACGCATTTAAAAATCTCGTCAAAAAAACTTGAAATATTATTTCGATTGTTTTCTTTGGTAAAAACAACAGGAGCGTAACACAGAAATCTTTTATATACACATTAAATAAAAAAACGCTACAATATGTTTTGGTGTTTCAGTCTCCAACATCCGTTCAACATGGCCCATCTAGCGCAGACGTCCGATCTTTATGGATGTTATGACCTCGGGTTCATTTTATGCTGCGTATAGTTCAAAATTATATCTTCTGCGCCATATATAATTTTCTTTCACCCCTTATATATGTGTCTACGGATTTTTCGTTCAAACGTACCTAATAGGTCCTCATCGCTTTTCGACAGTGTCCATGTCTCTGATCCATACACAAGGACCGGTTTTATCAGGGTTTTGTATATTTTGCATTTGGTTTTTCTTGTGATATTAGATCTTAGATGTTTAATTAGTCCACTATATGTTTTCTTAGCGATATGTATTCTTCTCTTAACTTCTTCACTGGCATTGTCATCTGCGGTAACTAGTAAACCTAGATATGTAAAAATTTTCACGCTTTCGATGTTTCAGTCTCCTATTGTCAAATTTTGTAGGTTTCTTCGGCCTGTCATTTTGCTGGCCTCCATGTATTTCGTTTTTATTTCGTTAATGTTTAGGCCACTGTCTTGTGCCGCTCTTTATATTGCATTAAATGCTTCTATCATCTCGCTTTCGCTTCTAGCTATGATATCAAGATCATCTGCAAATGCCAATATTTGTATATTTTTTGTTATTATTGTTCCTCTGGTGTTGACTTTTGACTCCCTTATTATTTTCCCTAACGTGATGTTGATACAGATACAGAATATGGCATCTTCCTATCGTAGGCCCGTTCTCACATGGATTGTGTACTATATCAATACATTGAGTTGGAATAATAATCTCTTTCAGTGCATGGATCAGAAATTCTCGATGGATGCTATTATAGGCACTCTTAAAATCAATAAAAAGATGATGTGTGTCTATATTAAATTCACTATGTCTTTTCCAAGATTTACCTCAAGACGAAGATTTGATCTATTGTGGACTTCTGCCTGCAGAAACCAGATTGATATCCCCCAACTATTTGTTTTGCATATGTTCTCAATCGGTCGTACACAATATTTGACAGTATTTTATATGCTACAGTCAGTAGCGTTATTGCCCGGTAGTTTTTACATTGAACCTGATCTCCCTTTTTATGTAGTGGGATAATTACTCCGGTATTCCAGTCTTGTGGCAGTTGTTTGGTACTTATCATATGTTCACTATTGGTTCGTGTATCGAATTCAATAGGAAGTCTCCGCCTTCCTTTATTAATTCTGCGCTAATGTCCAGTCCAGGTGACTTGTTTTTTTTTCAGTCTGGTAACTGTTTCTCTTGTATCCGTTTGATCCAGTTTAATTATATCATATGGTGGATCTTCGTTTTTTTTTCAAACTTCTCTTTGAAGAATTCTGTTCATCTTTGTAATATTTTACCCTGTTGAGTTACTGCATCTCCTACTTTATCTCTGCACATCATTTTTCTTGGTTTAAATTCTTTTCTACTTTTGTTAAGTTTTTGGTAGAATTTTCTGGTGTCTGACGGTTTTAATTTAAAAACTGTAATTCTTTCATTTCTTGGAGTTTTTTTCTGTGTTCCATTTTCTTTCTGCGATGTATTTTCTTCTCTTGCCTCCTTAGCATTCTATATTACTCCTTTGCCTTTCGTGTTCTATGTCGTTATAGTCGTTGATATGCATTATTTTTCCTCTGTGTTATGTTACGACACTCTTCATCGAACCACTGTCCTTCAGTTGATTTGAGTAGACTGACAACTCGTGATTTAACTGTCAAAATTTAATTCGCGAAAATTGTCAGACAACAAACTTTTACTTTACCAGTCGAAAATATTGCCAGGAAAATTTTCTCTTTTATATTATTTTTTTTGCTAAT